ACTTAGAAAAGAGGCCTTATTTGAATGCTTCATCGTGAACAAGCCAAGCAGCATAAAGATCAATTAGCTTCGGTAGGCTTCAACCTTCAGTCATAAGGCAAATGCAGCTCCTGCTTATGATTTCACATGACTTCGTTCTTCTTGTGCGTGGACTTCCTAATCGAACGTCGATGGATCCTTGGTTCAGAGAAGGGGAAGGAATAAGAAGATTAAGTTAAGGCTGAAGAATAAAGGAATCATCCTATGTTATAAGCGATGGGAGGGGAAGCTAAAGTAAGCTACTCAGAAAGGATCAAGACATCTTTGCGTGGTCTTACCAAGATATGCCAGAACTAAACACAGACATAGTGGAGCATTATCACCCCCTCAAATCATACAGCTGCTACAGAGACAGCTAGTGGGAGGCAGGGTTCTAGCGAGTCATTGTACTCAGTCTTGTATAAACTTTCATTTTCGCTAAGCTTATAAGGGAATAGGGGAGAGGGCTGTCAAAGCAATATCTTGCTCTTGTAATGTCCAAGGCTAGTATAAGTGAAGGAGGGCCAAAGAGCCATCCTAGTGAGGCCATAACCATAAAGAGAACTTATTATAGAATAAGGGGAGCTCTAAGTCATGCTATCTAGTTAGGGTGTCCTTATTCCAATCATGAAGTCTCTTGAGACCAAGACCGCCTCGGTTGAGGGAGGTAGACTACGTCCCAAGCCTCTTATTTTCATATATTGAATCTATTTGCAAAGAGTAGGGATAGGAGATATCTGATTGAAGGTTGAGAATAGCCGAAGAGTTCGGGCCAAATCCCGAAGAATTCCTTCTCTTGTGATTATGCTTACAACCAATAGTTTGTAGAGAATTGGAAGAGGAAGACCTTACAAAAGGAATAAGGGCTCAAATCAAAGCTCCTGCCGAAGATTGATGAAAGACAAGACGATCTGGTACACCGAAACTCTTCGTAATAGGCCTGGTGCATTACATCCGGTAGCTCGCAGAGGGAATTAGATCCAGTAAAGGCCAGCCCCAGCCCTTAGGCTTAGGTACAACCTTAGCGGTGCTTTCCTCGTGAGTTTGTCTTTCTATTTTATTTACAGAAGTTTATGCCCTTAGTCGCCTAGAAGGAAGAAGTCCGGAGAGCGAAGGAAGGGGGGAGTGAAGCCTTGGATGAAGGCAAGAATCGACCATTCGAGCCCTTCTACCCCGGGAAAAGTGATTTACTCTAAATTACATCTATATGATATGTTCGCCTGCATTCCCTCTCCTGTTTAATGCCTTTCTTTAGCTTTAGCCTGTGCCTACGCCTACTCATCCCGAGTGAAATTCGATCTCCCTTCCCATGTGTGGTTTGAAAGCAAGATTCACCTCCATAAAAAGAATTCGAACTAGGCTACCTTCGCCTAGCTCCCCTCTTGGAACTGCATTCCTGGGTTCTCCCTTCTGGATGGATTGGTCGATCTCGGTTCTGTCTTCCCATGCCAGTTCTACCATTGTAAGTTGTTCGCTTGCATACGCTTCGTAGTTATATACCGTCTTCTTAGTAGTTGGGGAAGATCACCACCAACAAGAAGAACGTTGGCTTTACCAAGTATCTGCTCTTCTCATACTCAAGTACTTTCAACTCCATCTGCACTTATGTCTTACTGTGCCCATAGCTGATTGTTAGTTGTTCTCAATGTATAGCCTACTTTACTTCGCGTGCTCTCCTCATTGAGGGATTTCAATTGCCTTGGGACCATCATCCCATCCTGTGCTTACAAGTTAGTACTCTTAACCCACCGAGAACTCCTTCTTATATTGCGATAAGCAGCCTCTTCTTTCATCTAAGGAGGACAGACAGCCCCTCTTCCTTTACTTCTGGGTCGGAACAGCGGGTAGGTAGCTCCTATAGTTCGTTAGGAGTTGAAAGTCCTCTCGGTCGCTATACGGTTAGTTCGTCTCCGTACTTCCTTTGGTGTGCTTCCTCATTGCATCCCTCATCTCTTGCTGGCATCATTTCTTCTTTCTATACGAGAATCCCGGCTTCTTTCTTGCCCCATTGACTTAGCTCATCTCGTGCTCTCCAATCCTATTAAAAAGAATCCGTTGCTAGGCTTCTTCGGTTCCGTGGTCTTGGTCTATAAACCTTATCCATCGCTCCTTTTCTTCGTCTTTCATTGCCTTCCTTCGTCCAGCATTCTAGGCATCTGTCCCGGACAATCGACTGCCTCTTCTATGAAGAATCCTCTATTTCTCACTGTTTTGAACCTTATGGGCAGTCTCTCCTCAGCCTAATTCACTTGATTGACTGAACGCAGAAAACCTTCCACTGGCAGGCGATCGTGTTGCAAGCCTTGTACCTTAGCCCATCATCTGCCACATTGGAGTTCAACAAATCTCCCTTTTTTCCGATGAGCTGAGCTAGCCAGGTTTTCAATCCGTTCAAAAACTATCCCGCTCTAATAGGTCCGAGGAAAGGGGAGATAGGCTCGATCATAGTTTTATACAGAGAGATGGTTCAAGCGCTCATTAAAGGATGATGGTATGGTTGGCATTTCAATTCGTCTCAGAGTTTGCAAAGACAAAACTAAGGAAGCGGAAGCACTATTGTATTGGTTTGGACTCATACCAGCACGGAGAAGGAGTTCAGAACCCACCTATATAAGGCAACGAAGAGGCGATCAATAGAGAGTGAAGCATTGGCCAGAGATCGGGTTAATGATAGAGAAAAAGGAGCGAAGGCATGGGTCTCAGCGACCAGTGGCAAGGCAGCTCGTCCTCTATTTCATCCCATCGTTCACGCATCTATCCTTGAGGATTTCTGTATATAGATAGAGATCATATTCTATAGGGACTCGCCCATTGATCTATGGGAAGAATAAAAGAAAGAGATGCTATGGACTTTATGTCTTTTTAAATGTCTCGATTGTGTTGGTGTTCAGTGTACCGCAGTCTGATTATGAGCCTTTAAATCGTATCGATTGGCTTGGTGGTTTTGGGGAGGAAGATTGCGGTTTATCTTCGTCGAAATCGGTAAAGCTTTTAAAGCCTCAGTTTATTGTTGCTTCTATGTTCTGCTTGTACAAACTGTGGCTTTTTTGCTTTGATGGGCTTTGCTTGGTAAGAAACACAAGGGGAAAAGGGTATTAGCTGGGAACCTTTGCTCTTGCCTGCAGCTCAGTGTTTAGCTTGGTTTGTTTTTAGCTTTTCTTCATTGTAAAGTAAAAGCTCTAGATAAATTTCCATTGCTTATAAGGCTATGGTGGATTGCCTCCTTTGTTATCAGTTTATGTACCCTGTATGTTGATGGGAAGGTATTTGGGATTGAAGCCTCAAAACACTGGAATTCTCATCTTGTAGCTAATCTTGCTGCAACCCCAGCTCTTGCTTTTCTGTGTTTTGTTGCGTTGAGGGGTTTTACTGGTATACAAATTGTTAGGAACTCAGATTCCAGAATTCAATATGTCGGGGAGTTCTATACCACTGAACACCAACACAATCTTGACTTTTTAAAGATGAATTGAGACAACGTCTACAATCATCTATCTTAGTCACAATGGTGGAATTCAGTAAGAGTTCACTATAGAAGCTGATCTGACTCTATATACAGAAATAGAAGATGACTCTATATAAGGAAGATAAAACGATAAAACACTATATAAATAAATATTCCAGATAGAATGGTAGGACTGAGCCGATTAAAAGAAGTCTTATTGGCCCTAACAACCGAGCTAACAGGAAATCCTAAGCCACAAAGACTAAGCAAGGAAAGACCCGCTAAGATGGGTTAGAGTTGATCCCAGTCAATGAGGAGGGCACAAGCAAGAAAGGCGAACAAGCCAGACCAAGATGCTAGCAAGAGGAGAAGGACTGATCGCAGCACTTATTGGCCAGCTCATATCAGCTATTCCGAAGTACAGGGCAAGGCACTTTGAACCTACTAAGGCAAAGGCAGAACGAGCGCTACTAAGAATGACGAAGCGGTACAAACTACCTTCTCAGACTTTATAGGCCAGCTTTTTGACGCAGCGTAGGTGGTATTGGTATCGAAAGGGGGCCGGGGAGACGGTCAACCTTAGATCGCCTACGGTCCCTCATGACTGTTGAAGAGAGCTACAAAAGCTATATGCTTAACACATGCAAGTCGAACGTTGTTTTCGGGGGGCTGGGCAGAAGGAAAAGAGGCTCCTAGCGTGAAGGTAGCTTGTCTCGCCCAGGAGGTGAGGCTTAACGATGGAGAACATCCCCCGGCATTGGCTAGAAAGATAGGAATACCCTGGTATTGGTGCCTCGGGTTTTTGCCAAGTCTTCTGAACACGAACTCTTCACTTAGAAATTGCGTACGTAAGATAAGAATCGAAATTCTAGATGACTATTGTCTATCATTAAGCTATACTATATAGGTTGCGAAAAGCCATCAGACATCAGACTTTGGGCACCAACGAGTAGTGAGTGACTGTCGACGTGTCCGGTCAGGCCGTCTAGTCTGGCTGTGAGACTGTTGGCGGGAAACTCCGGGTGTGGCGATCCGATCAGCGAAATTCAATCCTTCCAACAATTACGTTAGTGATAGATTCAGATAGATAGAATCTATCGGTAGGCTAATCTTGACAGTTATCCCGATGGAGAAGGCGGCGGGCCAAGAGTGCACCGAAACGGAACCGGAGAGAGGCCAACGATCCGCTAAGATCGAAAGTCGTTTACAGCCTAGCAACGAGAGAGTCCCATGCATAATTTGTTGGTAAACAACCAACTTAAGTCAAAAAAGTCTCTTTTGAGCGGAAAATAAAGAAGGATCAGTCATGGAGAGCTTCTTCATCTTTATTTGGAGGGAATATCCCTATCATTGTTTCCGCTTTCTATACATTTTTACTGGGTTGTGCTTTTTTCTTATATCCTATAATGGATATTGGAACCAGCGGCATCTCTTCCATCTACTTATTGCTCTAACAGAAAAAGGTAGGGCTTTTTCCTGGGAGTCCAACTGGTTTCAAACCAAAGTGAAAGCCGGTCCCGCTCCAGACCAGAAAGATGGTGATGGGGGCCCGGGCCAGAAAGAAAGAGGTCCCCCATCACCAGCCCGCATAAATAGATAATTTTCTCCCATGCATCCTTTTTGTTGGTCAACAACCAACCACAACTCAATAGAATGAATTCTTCAAGACTCCTACATGAAGGGACTCTCTTTCTGTCCGGAGGGAATCATTGTTTCTCAATCAATCATGCCTCAACTGGATAAATTCACTTATTTCACACAATTTTTCTGGTCATGCCTTTTCCTCTTTACTTTCTATATTCCCATATGCAATGATGGAGATGGAGTACTTGGGATCAGCAGAATTCTAAAACTACGGAACCAACTGGTTTCAAACCGGGGGAACAAAATCCGGAGCAACGACCCCAACAGTTTTGAAGATATCTTTAGAAAAGGTTTTAGCACCGGTGTATCCTATATGTACTCTAGTTTATTCGAAGTATCCCAATGGTGTAACGCCGTCGACTTATTGGGAAAAAGGAGGAAAATCACTTTTCTCTCTTGTTTCGGAGAAATAAGTGGCTCACGAGGAATGGAAAGAAACATCTTATATTTGATCTCGAAGTCCTCATATGGCGCTTCTTCTTCAAATCCTGGATGGGTGATCACTTGTAGGAATGACATAATGCTAATCCATGTTCCACACGGCCAAGGAAGAATCAAAAAATAAGAAGAAAGGTTATCGAGATTATCAATCGCTCTTTTTAGTGGGGAGGAATAGTGCAGGAAGGGAGCGAGACCAAGCCGAGCCACTAGGAGAGTCAGCCCTTCCCACGTGTCAAGTTGAATAAATGAATGCAGCCTCCACCAGAGAGATCAACCTGCGCCGTCGGCGGCGCAGAACGCACTAATCCGCGACCAGCAAGTTTTCCGAAACCGAACTGAATAGAATTGTTACTTTCAAAAAATGCTTGCTGAAAATCAAAGAAAGAAGGTCCATTTTCCCACGTAGTTCGTCGGTCAAACCAACGATTCTCTTCTCAAAGTAATAGAGAGATCTTTTTCTAGTTAGACTTCTATCAATGCAATGAAAGAACCATCCCTTCCTATTTCTTTGTCCTGTCAGATAGAAATATAATAATACCCAAAAGAGCCCTTCTTTACCACTTTAGGGGGTGGGGGTGAAGGGGGGGGTTTACATACAACCGAGGCAAAGTGGTTTATGATTGAATCTCAGAGGCATTCTTATCATTTGGTAGATCCAAGTCCATGGCCTATTTCGGGTTCACTCGGAGCTTTGGCAACCACCGTAGGAGGTGTGATGTACATGCACTCATTTCAAGGGGGTGCAACACTTCTCAGTTTGGGCCTAATATTTATCCTATATACCATGTTTGTATGGTGGCGCGATGTTCTACGTGAATCCACGTTGGAAGGACATCATACCAAAGTAGTACAATTAGGACCTCGATATGGTTCTATTCCGTTCATCGTATCGGAGGTTATGTTCCTTTTTGCTTTTTTTCGGGCTTCTTCTCATTCTTCTTTGGCACCTACGGTAGAGATCGGAGGTATTTGGCCCCCAAAAGGGATTTGGGTTTTAGATCCTCGGGAAATCCCTTTTCTTAATACCCCTATTCTCCTTTCATCCGGAGCAGCCGTAACTTGGGCTCATCATGCTATACTCGCGGGGAAGGAAAAACGAGCAGTTTACGCTTTAGTAGCTACCGTTTCACTGGCTCTAGTATTCACTGGCTTTCAAGGAATGGAATATGTTCAAGCACCCTTCACTATTTCGGATAGTATTTATGGTTCTACCTTTTTCTTAGCAACTGGCTTTCATGGTTTTCATGTGATTATAGGTACTCTTTTCTTGATCATATGTGGTATTCGCCAATATCTTGGTCATCTGACCAAGGAGCATCACGTTGGCTTTGAAGCAGCTGCATGGTACTGGCATTTTGTAGACGTGGTTCGGTTATTCCCATTTGTCTCTATCTATTGGTGGGGAGGTATATGAAGGAACGAAACAGTGGATTGAGGAACGACTCTCCCCTCCACAAGAAATGGCCGCCATGTCAGCGGCGAATGGCATGGCCAAGGGAATTGGCACTATAGGTGAATGCTTGTGCGGAGAATGCCTCCGCACGCTTTCACCTACTTGTTGTGAAGTAGGTTGCTCGTGCTGTTTCGCGGATTTTGTTCAGTATTGCCTATGATCTAACTTTTTCTCATATGAACAAATCGAAGAACCTAATGGATTTCAACCAGACAGCGGACCTCCCGGCGACAAAATGATTGGATCCACCAATCACAGGAAATAGGGTTCCGCTCCTTGCTTTGAGGAAGGGACAGACAGTCGTGACTTTATCGCCTCTTTATGTTAATTGCCTGAGCCCGGGCTTCAAAGTCAGAGCCTTCTCTGCTTCACCCATTCATTGCCATCAACCGGCTGTTCGAGCTCATCAATCAAGACGGCGGGGAACTTAGATGATTCATCAGAGTATGCCGGGTATGTCTTTGCCCAAGGGACATCTATGGATAACCGCCACCCACGTGGTTTAGCTAATTCAATAGCCTTCGGAGAAAAGCGACAAGTACCACTGGACAAGCAAATCACTTTTGGAATCACCTTTTTTTTAGGATCCTCTTACGGTGAAATGCCGGAATGATGCGAGGATCTCCCGAGCGAGTCAGCTAAACTAAACAGAGACGGAAATCTCAGTACTCTTCTGGCCAGCGTATGCTTGTTGAATTGAAGGCATACCGCACACTGCTTCAAATAGAAAGAGATTGGTTGAATCCCCAAGCCTCGCCAGAAGACGTTCCACAAAAGCATTCTTTCATCTTGTTCCTTGAGCAATGGAGGAAGCGAAGCGGGCTGCTTGTCTTGCCTCGAGCCCATAAGAGAAGTACTGCTCTGGACTAGGATGGTGCTGTTCTGCTTAAAACTAGGCTAGGAAATGGGCCTAACTCCATTCGCTGATGAACCCTTAACCTCGGGCGGTATGCTTGGTAACGCGTGCCGTCTACTCTGCTTGAGTGCATACACTAGGGTAGGGCTATCCAAGTGAGCAGTTTCCCCTGTTTTCACTATGGCTGAAGTCAGTTTGCAAGACAAAGTCTTTGGGATTTTACAGTGGATTCCGCGGAATCACCAACGTCTGTTTACTTGTACGAGCGAAGTCTTCACCCCGATCTCGATCCATATCCAGATCATCCAGTCAGTTCGTTCGGAAGCCCCCGTATCATCAATCCCGGTCCCAGGAACACTCACTCCATGGCCCGTGTGTGGCGCAGTGACAGACGGGATTGGTACCAGCCATCATAGAGGATGACCCCGGCTTTCTTTACATATGAGCATTCGTGTGATCCCCTGATGCGCTATAAATAAGGTTTAATGCAGCCCCTCGGGGTGAGAAGAGGAAGGGGCTCTTGTCTTGAATACAATTTATTTGAAGTTTCACTAACTATATGTCAGTCCATCCAGCGTTAGTAACCCTAATGATTGGATAAACGGATGACACACGTTTAGAGTGAACTAGTAATGTTCCGACTGAGTTGTGTGTTTCCTTCATCACTTAGGATTGTCACTGTCCGATGGCAGAGAGTTTTAGAAGATTCTCGGGTACTAAGATCATTTCTATCAAAGGTGATATTAATAGAATACTCACCGATGGTCTGAATAAGGAGATGTGTATTGCCGCCTACTTGTTCGCCAAACAGGTAATCTATTTAGGTCGAAAGAGCGGATATTTACATCTTGTTGCGCGATATCTTAAGCAGTGTAATACTTGTCTCATGACTGCCTATGGCGGCGTCAATCGACCTAATGGTTCTTTTTCTGTCCCTGTCTCTCTAACACGGTCAGGTTATCCTAGGATTATTCCTTCTTATCACAGAAAGATGATACTTCGAAAAGATGACCGTGCTGATGTATTAGTGCGTCTTTCTTGTTATTTCTTCAGTTTAGCCTTATATTATAGTATTGGTTAAGCGTGCAGATAAGAAGCTTTTTGAGCCAATCATCAGTCCGGTTAAGGATATGGATAGGGTCCGTGGTCGTGTAAGTCAAGTGAAATGTGACTTAGTTAAGATCATGGACCGTTATCTACCCTGGCTGTCCACCATACCCCTTGAACTAGGGTTGGTGTGGCTGGCTATGACCTTCCGGGCCTGAGACTTCATGGGTAAGAGTTGGTTGGCTCCTTTGGTCAGACTATCCCATGCTTTGTCTGGAGGGGCGTCACTCTAGGTTCTCGCTCCGAATACATAAGAAATGCGCTATTTCTTGTCTCTCGACTCGGGGTGTTCTAAGGTGCTAAATGCATTGTTGCAGTCGATGCTATTTCGTTCATCCTATCTTCTCAACAAGCGTGGAAAACATATATATGTTCAAAGAGTATGATGGGCCCAACCCTAAGCATCACAGGGCCCGAGCTTTAGACCTTGAACTTCCCGTTGATGAGTATATTGGTGATTTGGGGGAAGAATCTCTCAGTGACTGCTTTGGGGTGGTTTCTCCGTGGACAATGCCACCTTAAATCGTTTTTTTAGTCTTCTGCCCGGAAGTGAAGGGGGCAGCTCTGGATGGACGGATCTCCTGGGATCCTCCGAAGGGCAAAGCGCAGGCACGTCCTCCTCTGTTAACCAACAAGGGGCACGTCCTGCGCCTGCCCCAAATGAAGTAGCTCCCCCTTTCGTCCCCTATCCTTATCAAGAAAATGAGGTCATAGGGGGGGATAGTGTTCTCTCTATACGAAAGCGCCTCTTAGCATCAAACTCCGAACCATCTGCCCAAGCCATTAACTTGGCCCATCTTGACGCGCAAGACCGCTTCGAAGTCAAGGTGGATATCATCCGCCATATGGCGGTCCTTGATCCAAGTGGCGATTGGATGGTTCGGGGGGCGCGGGCGCTGGACAATCCCCATGCGTCCTCATCAGAAGGGGAACCTTCCTTAATAGAGCTCTATCGCCTTAGGGACGATCTCCATAGGGGGGGAGTAGAATCCCTTTCCTTTAAAGATTTAAAGGAAAAGGTTTTCACCAGGGTAGG